AATCAATCAATTAGTATTATTTATTCTTTCTTCAAATGCTAATTCTACTTCGGATGGATTAGAATAACTTGCATTCATACGTGATTTTATTTTTTGAGATAGTTTGAAGTCATTTGAATTTCTACATAATAATAAATATTCAAGCCATAAATTCATTGAGTGATGAGCAAGGTTTTCATGAACTAATGCCTCATCAAATACTTTTTTAGCTTTTTCAATTTCTTCTTGAGAAATAAAGTAATGAATTATCTTCAAATAACATTCTTCATCACAACTAGTTTTCAACACCCATTCAATGAATGTGTTTAATTCATTTATATTTGTTTTCATAACAGTGTCAATACAATAAATTTTAAGTTTGCTTAAATATTCTCTATTAATATTTAATATTTCTGTTTTCATTGCCTCAATTTGATCTTCAACTTGTACTTTTTCAATTCTTTCAATAGCATAGTCAACGGGTGTTTTAATAACTTCCATCACACCATTGATTTTATTTATTATTTTATTCTTTTTTTCTTCAGAAACTTCTTTAAATGCATCATTATTAATCATATCTAAAGCTTCTTGTTTATTTAATGGAGATAATGTATCACATAATACTTCTAGAATTACTTCTTTTGGTTGTTTTTCTTCATTAATAATATCATGAAGAATTTGTTTCTTTAATTCTTGACCATTTTCTTCATTATAAATAATTGGAATAAATTTACTTTTGAATTCAACTCCATCAATGTTCTCAATTCCATTTGTATAAATAATAGTTAAAATCTTCCATAATTTATTAACATTATTTTGTAGTTGTTGAAGACTTTCTTCAATTTCTTTTTGTTCATTAATATTATTCTCTTGATTTTCTTCTTCCATTTTCTTGTCTTTTATTTTATTTAAGTCTTTAAATCGTATTTCAATAGTTTGTTTTATCTTATGAATATAATTTAATTCAATTTTGAAATAACAAAGATATCCTTCTTCTGATTTTTTGTTTATTTCAATACCAAGTTGCATAATTTTTCTTGCTGTTTGTATATCACTATTATGTTCTATAATTTCTTGACTTAATGCATTCCATAATGAAAGATCTCGTGAAAAATATTTTAATGCTCGTTGATAAACACTAACTGCAGTTAAATGATAGTCAATACTTTTACACCAATTAGCATATTCCATATAATATGATAACATACGTGGATATCTTCTAATAAGTCTAGAATATAATTGCATAATTCGTTTCTTAAATACTCTTTGAAACTTTTTTTGTTCAATAAACATATCACTCTTTTCTACTCTAAATTCTAACTCTTTATCTGCTTCAATTTCTTGTTCAATAGCATGTTTATATGTTTCATAATTTGATCCAACTCTTCGAAGTGAATATTCTTGTTTAGTCCATCTTTCAATAATACTTTTAATTTCATTTTTACTATATAATTGTTTCTTCTTTAATTCTGAAAGACTCTCAACAAATCTCTCACGATATAAATTGATAATATCTGACATTTTGATATGTATTGTTTTCTAGTTTATTTCTTCTTATTTTTGGAAAGAGGGTTTAAAATAACACAAATTATAAATAACAATAATTTATATTAATGAAAGATGTGATTTAAGATAAGATAAGAAATCAGTTTGTTGAGTATATTTTATTATCAATAAATAAACATCTTTAACTAATAATTGTTTTGTTCTCATTATTGATAATATATTATGTAATTCATTATATTTATTTTTGTCCATCCAATGAAATTTAATATTAATTTGAAGAGAAGAAGCAACAAGAACTTGTTGAAAATATTTAAGTGTTGGATCATTAGCAAAAACACCACAACCCCATTGACCAGTTGCTATATTTCTTTTAATAGAAGAGAAACCAATATAACATTTATTTAAATCTCTAATAATATTTTGTTTAGTAAAACAAGAAGAAGTACATGAATCAATAGCAATAACAGCATTTTGAAAAGTAATTTGAGCTTCATTTTTAATAGATTTCCAACGAAATGTATTTCTAAATCCTGTTGTATTTGATATAGTAAGACAATTATCAATAATAATACATTCATTATATGCCATTGTATCAAAAAGAAGAATAGATAAATAACATTCAGGTTTTACTGCAAACATAATTTCTTCTTGAGTTGCATTTCCAGAAATATTAAATAAATGAATATTTTTATTTGCAAAGTCAATTTGATTTGGATAATCAGATGTTTCTATTCCATTTTCTCCATAAATTGTATCAATTAATTGGTGAGTGTCTTGATCCCAATTAATTATTTTATGAAGTCTTTTTCTAATGAAATGAACTTTTTCATTTTTTTCGGGATATAAAATCATAACAAAGAAATATGAAATGAGACATAACATCTTTTGTAATCCTAGTTTTGATGTTATAAGAGTATTAAATGATATTGAATGGGTATGACATATTTTTGATCTTTCAATACCAAAAAAACTACAAGCTAATATTCCAAATATTTCATAACGTGTAAAAACAAAATCAGTATCTTGTTGTTGATAAGAATATGGTAATATTATTAAATTATTATCTTTTTGAAATAATGGATTTGAACTATTAATTAAATTTTCTAATGCATCTTTCATATGTTTAATAAACCATTGAAAAAAATCAATGTAATTACAATCATTAAGAATAGAATGTTGAACTGACGTAAAAAAGATTTGTAATGCTTCTGAAATAAAATGAAATTGTTGTTTATATTGGTTATTTAAACTTTTAGACATTTGGTTTTGATAAAATATTTCAATATCATTATCAGAAATGAATTGAGTTTTTATTACTTCTTTGATTAACTGAGTTTGTAATTGGTACTGACTGTTTTGTCTTTGTTGGATAGTCATTGTTATGACTTTAGTTTTCGTTATTTACACTTTTTTTCTTTTCTTGAATTGAAATAACAAAAAATTCTGACAATTGATAAAAAATAATTTTTAACATTATCTTTTTTCTTTTATTTTGGAGTTTTTTTCCTTTTTCTGTTTTTACAGCTAACACGTGGCTGCGAATTTAAAAAAGATATTGAAGGTTTCTTACTCTGTTTCTTATTCATCTTTGGTTTATTCTGGTTGGTTGAAGTTTCTGTGAATTTAGTCTTCAAAACACCAAGAATAGCTGTTTCAAGAGCACATTTTAAATCCACAGGAATTTCCTCAGATTTTTTTACCATTTTTATTTATTGTCTTTTCTTTTCTCAACTTATATTAGTGATTCGTGATTCAGAAATAGATAAACACCAAACGACGACGTGACTTTCACATTTTATGAAATGACAAAATGAATAGTTTGAGTGGTGATAATTAGAGTCTTTTGTCTTGTACATTTATTTTCTAGACTATAATTTCCCCC